CTACACAAGATGTCTACTGTGGAGTAGACTAATTCGTTCCGCAGTAAACACTGCATGTCTACACGTGTATCTCTATTAGTGGTAATCAATGGCTCAATGTTTAGCTGGCAGCCAGTATCAAGTGGAGTGCTACAGGAGTCAGTCCTCAGTTTTGTTCAATATCTTTGTTAATGATCTGGAAGATGGGATGGAGTGCACCCTCAGCAAGTTCATGGATGACACAAAGCTGGAGGGTGTAGTAGACACATTGGAGGGTACTGCTAGGATTCAGAGTAACCTAGACAAATTGGATGACTGGGCCAAAAGAAATCTCACGAGGTTCAACAAGGACAAGTGCAAGGTTCTGCATTTAGGATGGAACAATCTCATGCACCACTACAGCTTTGGGACTGACTGGCTAAGCAGCAGCTCTGCAGAAAAGGACCTGGGGTTACAGTGGACAATAAGATGGATATGAGTCAGCAGTGTGCCCTTGTTGCCAAGAAGGCTAACAGCATCCTGGGCTGCATTAGTAGGAGTGTTGTCAGCAGATCAAGGGAAGTAATTATTCCCCTCTATTCTGCACTGGTGAGGCCACATCTGGAGTACTGTGTTCAGTTTTGGGCCCCCCACTACAGAAAGGATGTGGACTAGTTGGAGAGAGTCCAGAGGAGAGTAATGAAAATTGTTTGGGGGTTGGGGCACATGACTTATGAGGAGAGGCTGAGGGAACTGGGTTTATTTAGTCTGGAGAAGAGAAGACTGAGAGGATTTGATAGCAGCCTTTAACTATCTGAAGGGTGGTTCCAAAGTGATGTTCTCAGTGGTGGCAGATGACAGAACAAGGAGCAATGGTCTCAATTTGCAGCAAGGGAAGTTTATGTTGGATAATAGGAAAAACTTTCTCACTAGAAGGGTGGTGAAGCAATGCAGCAAGTTACCTAGAGAGGTGGTGGAATCTCCATCCTTGGAGGATTTAAGACCCAGCTTGACAAAGCCCTGGCTGGAATGATCTAGTTGATGATGGTACTGCTTAGAGCAGGGAGTTGGACTAGATGACCTCTTGAGGTCCCTTCCAATCCTAATGTTCTATGATTCTATTATTCTATTAGGTTGGAGTAAATTAATTAACTCCACAGCACCACAAGTATAGACAGTGACATGGTTGGCTGGGGCACAAGGATGACTGCTGGCTAGCCCTGCACTGGAGCACCCTCATACCCCAGTCAGCCCCTCCACAGCATGTTGAGCTACAGGGGAACAGCCCTGGGCTGGAAGGCTGAACCCCCCATTCAAACAGTGCATCTGGGAGCAATAAGCTCCAGAGTTTATTGCTTCACATTACTTGCACATGTAGATGTGCTCATTGTCAATGAAGACAGTAGAATTTGGCCCATGCTGACTTATATAAGGCTTCTTTGCAGAGACAGAAGTACAGTACAATCTGACATTCTTCATCTCTAATGAAACTCCTCAATTATTGGTGTGCTTTTTTAACATCTATCAAATGGCGATTTAGAAGAGGAGACTGCTTAAGAACAATGGACAGAGAATGGGGATTTCATTCAATGAGAAATACACATCTTAAGGTGGCTGTCAGGGGAAAAAGACCATCGCTGTTGAAAGTCCAACTAAAATAGCTCCTTAAAGAGGTTAGCTCCTTAAAGAATTTGGAACATAAAATGCTTTAAATAATAAAAAAAGGCAGCTGGAAGATGTTAACACTTAGTTTCTAATTGAAACGCTGTGTTTTATTTTATTTCAACAAACCTTAATTTGGCTTTTTACCAAGCAATTTTTGCTTAAAATCCCTTGATGACTTTATGGTCATCAAGAAAGATCCTAAGAGAGTTGACACCTGTTATTCTGTGGAAGAATACACACTGAATAAGATAAGCAGGAAAATAATGAGCTCCAATTTATAGAATAAACATTAAGTCAGAACATACAGAATATTTAGAAGGATGAATTAATGAATGGAAAAAAAGTCTGGAAAATATTTTGTGTGGTCCAGACTTACTGATGATAAGCACAAAGCAATGTTCTCACAAAAGCCAAAAACACATGGATGGCCCACTGCATTGAGGAAACATAATGAAATATTTACAATTTTGGCATGCAACTGGCAGAATCTATGCAATACCATTTCCCTGGGACCTGAAGAAAAGTCCATGCTTACCTCTTTATGAAAAGCAGTTGAATATTTATTAAAACAGCATTTTCAACACCTTTTTCTATATGCAACAAGGAGTCATTAAATGGTTGAGACAGGGCCAGATGTTACAATGTAGACTGAAACATACAATTGGAATGCATACAGCTTTTACTTCTTTGAAACATGGCATAAAGAATTCTCACAGACAGCAGTGTCATGGTGCATCTTAGAGCAGCTTCTAACTGCAGCATATTGTGTTAGATTCCATGTTGGTGTAATTGTGTATAGTTCTGCTGAAGTCAATAACACTACAATCATTTACACCCACTTAGGAATTGACTCATTGAATGTACCTGCTGAGGATTTGGGTGATTTTGGCTGCTGACAAACATGGGGAAAAAACCCCAAAACAGCACTTTGCTGGAAAAGAAAATGCGTAGTTCAACCCAGCTCTCTAGCGTCTGTATAGATCGTGCACTTCAGCGCGGCTTTTTGGTGCTTTTATCTAATAGCTGATTGAATCAGCTATTAGATAAAAGCACCAAAAAGCCCCGCTGAAGTGCACAATCTATACAGACATGGAGCAAGCTGAGTAAAACTAACACAATGCCTCTTTTGGGCATGCACTGCACTTGGTACAGGCTTGGGCTGAGCTTAAAGTAAAATGCTGATTTTGGGGTTTTTCTCACATCTGTAAGCAGCCTATGTCTCTTAAACTTGAGGACCCTAAGCATTTGATAGTCAAAGCAATTGGCATAATGAATGCATGTTATTTCTACCTTGGGTATGCTGGTGTTTTTTTCCTCTTCCCTATGCCCATTCTTCAGAACTTAACCCTTCAGAGAAGGTAATATCTTTCTGTATGCTGTCTAGATCTGAGCACAAGTAACAATTATATTAAATATTCTATAGTCATTTTGAACTGCATTAATAAACAACTCAGATTTTGTGCTCATGTCACAATCCTTAGTTTGCACTTCAGGCACTGAATAAATAAGTTGAGGGAGTTAGGCCCTTAGTTTGGCATTTTGGCTTTTAGGGTACCGATATATATGCAATGAGGCTGCTCTGATGCACTATAATTACAGTGCATCAGAGCAGACTCGATTACTCGAGTCTGCTGGAGCATGGTAATTGCTATGCTCCAGCAGACTCCAGCATCACGTGCATCAGCATCCCCATGCTGAAAAATGGTGGTGGGGGTGCTTTAACTAAAACTCATTCGACAAGCTTTAGTCATAAAGTGCCCCTGCTGTGCCATTTTTCAGCTCTGTCTCTTTGTTTTTGGTGGGGGGGGGGGGGGGGGTGTCTCAGAACTGCTCTACTTAAAGTGTTCCCTACCCCCAACACATACACTTCTGCAGCACATGTATAAAAGCCCTTCATGACTTGTATCATAGGATTGGCCTTTAGGGAAATAATGTTGTGTTAAATTTCATTTTATAATAATAAGCAAGTATAGAAATAACGTACAAAGTTTATACAGAATACTGTCAATATGGAGTCACACTTTTTGGATGTACATACTCGTGACACCTAACTGGAGTCCTCTGGAAACTGACTTCTGGAGCTACAAACACTCCTTTATCAAACTAAGCATTTGGTGTGAGGTTATATAAAAACTGTAGCTCCATTTCCTCCAGCTTATTCCAACTAGTGGCGTCAGAACTTTTATTAATGTTCCTGTTGTCCCTTTGGCAGTTGTGTCGATATATTATTTTTCAAGCATTTTTAAAATATTTGTCTAGTTTAATGTTAAAATGTAACAGCTGAACAGTGCTATTAGGGGCTATCAGTGCTGCGTCATTTAGGTCAGGCCAGCTTGTTGGCCTCTATTATGGACCAATTCATTGGCTCTGTCTTGAGTTTGTTGAGTTCAATGGCTCTGTACTGAGTTCTGCTGAGTTTGCTTCTCAGCCTTCTGGCTAGGATCAAGGGTACTCCAGCACATTGTCTGAATCTTGGAAGAAAACCAGATATAAGTGCTGGCTATCTTACAAAAGCAAGATATTGGTTTAGTAGTCCAATAAGATGCAGCACAGTCTAAAATGACTCCAACTTTCCAGGTGAGTAAGAACTATGGGTCTCATCTCTGGGAGTCTCTGAATAAGGAGGCTTTAAAGCACCTTAAGCTGAGTCTTGCGGTATGGCTAAACTGATACTCATTCTTAGTACTAACTGAAATCCAGAACTAAGAGGATCCAAGAAGGCAAAAAATCTGAGGACAGAGAGGATTCAGATCTCTCTCTTCTTGTTTTGGCATTAAAAAAAACTAACGCTGCTTACAGATGTTAAAAAAACAAAACAACCTCTCCCCCGCCAAACTGTGCTTTACTGGAAGAAGCAGTATGTTACTTCAACCTGGCTCTGCAGCATCTGTATAGACTGGGTACTTTGGTGGGGCTTTTTGGCACATTTACCTAAAGCTAATTCAATTAGCTATTAGATAAAAGCACCAAAAAGCCCCATTAAAGTGTCCGATCTACACAGACATCGGGCAAGCCAGGTCCAACTAAGGCACTGCCTCTTCTGGGCATGCTCTGGGCTCTAAGAAGTAAAGCATTGCTTTTTTTAACATCTGAAAGCAGCCTTAGAGGTCACTTTTTAAGAGGAATGTTTTATAAAGTTTTTGAATAACTTCATTCACTACTTATGACATCAGTTATCATGTTAGTAAAATCTTGACAGTATTCTTGAAAGATATGAAAAGGTGATGTGTAGCCATTACACATTGTGAGGAAAATGTATCACCTACTGCAGAACATATGAAAAACAAACGAAGGCCAAATATTTTACTTGATCTCAATCGCATACACTGTGCTTTCACTTGGTGTAAATTCAGTGTAAAAGAATATCCTGCCCTTACCTAGAGCTGCCCTTTGCATGTGGCGCTGGGTTATCTCTTCTTTCAGATGGTCTGTGAAAGACATAAATACAAATGGTTAAAGAGGTTTCAAACTTTCATAGACTTACAAAGTCATTAGTTACCTCGCACTATTTGAAGTTGCCCATGCAGCTAGCCAAATTAAGGGTACTTCCTATGGAGTCCACAGGGGAGGAAATGGCTGTTGGAGCTCTCCCACTTGTCTAATGCAACTAAACAGGAGCAGACATGGTTTGGCCCTATATATCCTAAATTTCACTTTATCCAGTATGAAAGAGTGGAAATTAAGCTGTCTCCTTTAAATGAAGTCAAGCACTTTCACAGGATAATGATCTCCTGCTGTTAGATACAAGAGAAGGCCAAGGAAGGCAGAAGACAGATAGAATTCCAAGTATTCATTCAAACAGACTTGTAGACGCTAGAGAAGGAAAGGAGCTATTAGGTCATCTAGTCCATCTCTTTGCCAGTACAGAATTGGTTCCCTGCAGAACCTTTTTTCATGTTTCGTCCAACTCAATATTAATGTCCCATGTGGCAGAGCTTCTGCAGCTTCCACTGCTTAACACATCTCAGGGTCAAGATGTCATTAATATAAACTCAGAATTTCCCATTACTTAATTTCATTATCCCATTACTCCTTGTTATGCTCCCATGCCCTACACAATTTCCTTCACCCTTCTGTTCTTAAGTTCACCCTTGATCCTGTGACACTGGTGTGGTTCACCAACTATATCAAACCATAATTAAATTACTAGATGGATAATCATTGCTCAATGTTAAAAGCTGAACCAATAAAAGAAAAAACACAACAACAAAAACACAAAAACAAAAATATACAACTCCAACAAGCAGGCCTGTTCTGAGAACAAGAAGGGATAATTTTTCTTCTTGGGATTCCAGATTAAATTGATTTCTAAACAGAGCGCCCACCCTGCTTGAACTGCCTCAGCACCTTGGCACCACCCCAGAGCACCATGAGGTCACCAACTTCTTCCCGGGTCCAGCTGGGGGCCTGGGCAGACAGCACAGGCATGCAGGGTCAGGGCTCGATGGAAAGGATGGTGAGGACATCATGTTCTGCACCGGCTCTCTGGGTCCCCGTGCAGCTGTCCCTGTGATACCAGACCTGGGTAACTGCCAGCAGTGCCCAGCACAGGGGCACAGCCAGGGACTGGGAGCTATACCACAGAGACACTTCACCACAGGATCTACAAGGACAGGAGACAGTGCTGAAAGTGAGCAGCTGCAGGGAGCAGGTGCTGGCCCTGCTGGGGGGATCTCAGGGCTGGGCAAGGGGTGCAGCAGGCTGCAGCCCTTTGCAACACACACCTGTGGCCAGGCAGCAGCTCTGGCGAGGGGACAGGCCAGGCAGAGGCAGCCTGTCTTCTGCCCTGGGGGGCACATGGGGCCTGCAGTGGTCCTGGGGATTGCACAGAACCCACCAGACTTCTGTGTAGTTGGTGTGCCCCAAGGGAAAAAAAGGATGCAGGCTTTTATAGCCTGCAGCTAGGGGCTGCCAGACAGCCAACCCAGCCCTGGGGCAGAAGAGGCTCCCAGCCAGGAGCCCTGGGGCTGGCCTCAGGCTGGCCCCCTAGTGGCAGGGCAGACACAGCACTAAACTTAATGCCAGGTCACATCTACATGCGCATTACTGCACATTAACTAATTGCAACTAAATTTGATACCTGCATTTGCAGGTATCAAATTTAGTCATCATTAGCCACTTTTACTGTGCAGTAAGGGTATGCATGTGTAGACATGCACCCTTATTGCGCAGTAAACTAGGCTAGGGTGCATAACACGTCTTGTATAGACATGCCCAAAGGGCACTTTTATACATGGTCAGGGGAGCAGGGTGGTGCTTTAATAAGTGAGGCTCCAAGAGTGCTCTAATAAAAGTGCTGCAGTGTCTTGTGTCGTAGCATCCCCACACTTCAAAATGGCGGCAGGGGCACTTGAACTAAAGCTCGTTCAGCAAGCTTTAGTTAAAGCACTCCTGTTGCATTTTTAAGCTTGGGGACACCAATACATGAGACATAGAGGCTGGCTGGTATGTGGTAATGACCATACTCCAGCAGTCTTGATTAATTGTGGATGCTAGATTAATTGAGTCTGCTCCAACGTGCTGTGTACAGGCACCCAAAGTTCCTTTCAGCCAATAAAACCCCAGGTTTAAATAAGCTGAATGAGTAACACAGTAACACTAGCTCCCTGAGTGACATAACAAAGATATTTGAAAACTAATTCATTTAGAAAGTAAGAATTCAGCTAGCAGTACTCTAACTCCATCTATCTCAAACTGATTACAGGGATGAACAATTTCAGCACATATGATTGTACAAACTTTGATATTAGTTACTAAGATAAAAATAACACTTAGACTAGAAAAAAAATTCCTTAACACTATCAGTAGCAGGTGTTTCCCACACCTGGAAAAGAAGCATGGCTAAGATCAGTCAGGTTTGGTGTAAACTTAATAATTTTGTTGGTATAACTATTTTACTGTGTCTTTTTTTAACCAAAATATTTATACCTGTAGTGTGAACACATTTACATTGCTTATACTGTTATAATGATGATTTAATCCAGGTCTACAGTACATTTTTTTCACGAATACTTATTTCAGTCAGGGGCATGATGAAGCGTGATTTATGACCACATATCCATACTGGCAAAACCATACTTTCACTAATATAATTTATTCTGCTGAGGAGCAGATAGGGGAGGGGAAAATTGTGTGGGTGGCTGGAAAGTTTAGTTTTGCTGGTTTAAGCCGAGTCCATCCTAGGAGAATTTTACCAGCGTGGCATACTAACTATACTGGCCAAACCTTCCAAGTGCAAACCTGGCTTTATATTGACATAGTTATTTCCCTTATCTATGGGAGTAGGTATATTATTTAAAAGAATCCTCATTCTAATATAACTGCACCCATTCTAGAAGGTTGTCCCACTTCAATTGGTATAGATAAAGTGGTACAACTTTTGAGTATAAAGAAGTCTTCAGACAACCAGTAACAGCTGGAATAGATCATTCTTTCTTGTGCACCATAACTTCAAAAGTAAAGCCAATAGGGGAATAAGAGCCTACCTTTTAATATACAATGATAAAGGAAATGATCAAGGAAATTTTGCCAAGGACTGCAGGCCTGGCCCTTTATGCAAGTCTTTTTTGATTGGGTTTCTTCCTCAGTCACAAGAAAAGGGGTTGCATTCATTTGAGTCCAGGAGTCTAGATAGTACACAGCTTTTCAAAACAGCAAGTTTAACTTCTCTCCAATTAGCAGAAAATGTTCTGAGGAAGATTGTAGCCTGGCCAAAGTCTTTGGTCCCTAGGGCTCAAGGGGAACATGATAACACAGGCAAACAGGTTAAAGTTGAGCAAACCCAATTTGGTTTGACAGACTGAAATATTTCAATTTGAGCTGCTTCAACCTGAAACTAGTTTCTGACAAAAACTGAAATTTTCTATAGAACGTTTTTGAAGAAGGTACTCTTTTAGTTTTCTTTTCATTGACATTTTCTGTGGGGGAAACCAATTCTGACCAGCTCTACTTATAACTCCTTTCAGGGCACAGGTTACCCTGAGGCCAGCTTGAAAGTTCATTAGCGACAGAATTAGGGGACAATTGCAGCACTGTTGCCTGTATAGACCTTTTTATGCAAACAAGCAGAAGACTTCAGTCTTCAGTACTGCCAGTTCTATAATCTTCACAAATACAAATATTTATCTGAAGAAAAATGAAGAATCGCATACTTGCACAAAAATGAGTCTCTTGATCCCAGTAGTGTAAAGCTGTGGACAAGGTAACTCTTAAATGTGGTTTGCAAAAACTGAATTTAAGACTTGGCGATCAGCTCTCGCCATATGGCTAATTATGTTTCTGAAGTCTCACCAAACAAGCAGCTAATAATAGCTGTGCAGCTGATACCAAATCATTTTTTCCAGTGGAGTCATTCTTCATTTGGAGATAACAGTCCCAATGAAATGTTGAATGCTGCAACTCCACATGTTTTGGCAAAAAAGCAGTTTTGGGGAATTTAAGAATTCACTCAGCATGCAGTTAGCTGTCATTAGAGCTGTGATAAATCTGTTGGTTTTGGCTTGTGTTTCTGGACACATGTACCATCCTGAGGTATGGAAAAGGGATGAAATGGCAACAGAAACCTCTAGCCTTGTGACAAGAGACAAAAGGCATGGAGGAGACAAAATAGGAAGCCAAACAGGGAATCATAATGAGGAGCAAGGGAATGCATCTTATGCAAGAAAGCTGCTAATTAAACTTCATCATCAGTGTTTTAAATAGTATAACTCCTTTCAGATTATATATCATTAATAAGCAACTAGTATGAAACGAAATCATTCCAAGTTCTGCCTCAACATCCATTTTGAGCAGTTCCTGTCATTAAATACTTGCATAACTTGATAGCACTTCCCATTGATTAAAAAAGAATGGTTTCAGCTTGGATGTGTAGGAGTTTGAACACAATACCAAACAAGTAAAATCTCAGTTGAACTGCAGAATTATGTATTCCTGCAGATTGAAGCTAGGTACAGACATTACACCTATCTAGCTTTAAGCAGGCAGAAAGTGCTCTAAAGCTGTCACAGCTCTCAGGGCATTTATACACCTCTCTTTTGTCCCACGATGTGCTGGAGATCCGCCGCTTCAGAGCATACTCAACATGTGTAAAAATGCCCTTAGAGCGCTTAAAAATGGCAGATCATGCTCTAAGTTAACCCTCAAAGGATGAGGTATTAGATTAAAGCACTTGCTAAAACACTTTATTGAAGGTCTGTGCTAGATCCCATTGAGGATTAACATAAAGTGCAATCACTGCCAACCCAGGTGGTGTTGTGCAGGGCTGCTCCCTGCTTTTAGCAGACCTCCTGCGTTCTGCCCAAGTGCTGGGCTGGTCCCACCCCCTTGGCTGTCAATGACCCGAGTCAATGACAGCTTTGGATCCCAGAGCAGAGTGACTAGGAGGGGAGTGGGGGAAGAGGGGGTTTCTGTCCCTGCATCCACCCTGGCC